AATGATTTTCAACGGTCGCTTTGTCGCGTCCAGTGTACTAGACAGACTTTAGCTGTTGTGGTGCAGACACGGTGTTACTCACCTATCGAGAAGAAACAAAGCAACCTCGGCGTCTGATCGCAGGCCTTCTGCTCCTTGAGTTCTCTCCAGCGCTGGAAAGCTGATCCGATATTTACACGGGTCCTACATCTTGCCTTAAGCCTTCCTTTGTTCCGCAGACTCGTTATAATTTAACGAATAATTTAAGTTATTCGTTAAATTATAATATTCAGTGATGTGATATGTTCTCTGCGTGGAGTAACATCTTGCACAGTCGTAGCTTGTACTTATTATTAAAACAAATAGAAAGTAAATAAGTAGCATTAATAGTCATTAATTTTAGTTAACATATGCTATGATAAATTTGAACATAGATTATTCTTCTTATTTTACATGTATTCTTGTAAAATAATGGTCATAAATATTGTCTCAAAAGTTATGGAAAATTCATTGAAATTTATTGGTAAAAATGTGTATGAACCCTGTCTATATAAAAAGACAGGAAACACTTTAGTATAGGGACCAATCCTCACTATTAAATGGTTGCTTATTAGCATGCATATTATACATCCTTAATTAATAAGCAGTAATTAGGAGTTTATTGAGCCAAAAGTCATAGGTAATAGTGAAACTAAGTAAAACCGGCGAGAAACAGCTGAGTCTCTGTCATTACTACCTGTTGAGACCACTACAATCTGTTAACAGTCTAAACATATAAATGTTGACTATATTTACTAGATTCATAATTGTGTATGTATTTAATATGTATTTAAAGTAAAATAAATTACAATATGTATTTATGTTATATTATAACTGCGTGACCCCATTTCTTTGATGACGTTCCAGAGCGTTCCAAATGAGCGATTATTGTCAGTGAAGTCCACTTCAACAGAGTAGGGAGCAGTGAACACTGCATAGGGACCCTGTCAATCGGAACGCACCTTTAATTATTAACTATTAGGGATGTCCTGAGCTGATCTCAAGGATCGGGATCGGGGCCGATCAAGCAATTTTGTAACTCTCTCCTGAGCTCTATCCTTATTTTCCGTCAGCTGTCATGCCGGTGTCGTGCAGCAGGAGGTGCTATGCTCCTTTAAGTGGGTTTGCCAACTGCCATTAACAGGAAAGGAAGGCGCTCAAATCAGTCAAATGTGTGTGTAAGATGCGGGAAAAACACTGAGGCCTGTTCTAGCTCATCACACACGATTGAGCTTCTGTGTTCAGTGTATTTGATGCGCACTTTTGTAATGATCACTCATTCATTTATCGTTAACTTTTATCTGCCGTCAGAGACGTCGTTGTTATAACACGCTGCTATGGGTTGAGTCTTGATTCGGACTCGATTGACAGACTGACACCGCGAGCTTCATGCTTTCTAACCTTATCTCCACTTTATGTTGCAATTACTCTGCAATGAGCGATTATCGTCAGTGAAGTCCACTTAAACAGTGTAGGGAGCAGTGAACACTGCGTAGGGACCCTGTCAATCGGAACGCACCTTTAATTATTAACCATTAGGGATGTCCTGAGCTGATCTCAAGGATCGGGATCGGGGCCGATCAAGCAATTTTGTAACTCTCTCCTCAGCTCGTTGTTATAACACGCTGCTATGGGTTGAGTCTTGATTCGGACTCGATTGACAGACTGACACCGCAAGCTTCATGCTTTCTAACCTTATCCCCACTTTATGTTGCAATTACTCTGCTTATTATACATATGAAAGGTTTTTTTTACTTTTAAAATTGTAAAAATGCAGAAAGTTTTCTGTGAGGGGTAGGGGTGGGTTTAGGTTAAAAAGTGTATAACTATCTGTATATAAAAACAATAGAAGTCTATGTAATTTAGATAGCTAAGTAAACGTGTGTGTGTGTGTGTAAAATAGTATATCAGTCTGGCGAGTAAACAAAAAATTTTACTAGCCAATGGCGATTATATTGCCAAGGTGTGCGTAGAGGGTTGAATACAAGACGTTTATATCAAGTAGTCCAATATTCATAATTGTGACCACAAAGTATGTTTACAGTGTCAACCATTGTAACATGTTTACAGTACATCTGCCAATATCTGTATACAGTGTGTGCATAATATATATATATATATATAGAGAGAGAGAGAGAGAGAGAGTGTGTATCTTGTAATATATATACATATACAGATACATTCTGTAATGATTCAGTCCACTGAAGGCGAGCGTAGATTTTTTTTACAAGGGATCCAAACATCCAAACAATGCACGAAGACTTGACTAGACTTGACTTGAACAGACTTGACGAGGCATGAACAGACTTAACTCACCGACAGCAGATTACAACATCAATACACGACAAAGAACAATGGGAACATGAGGGTTATTTGTACCAAACAAGAAGGGTCACATGCAAACATACATTCCTATAGGAATATACAAGTATCGGATCGGGACTCAGTATCGGCAGATACTCAATATTCAATGACTCGGAATCGGGGGCACAAAAAACCTGATCGGGACATCCCTAATAATAATTAGTAGTAGTAGTATTTTTATGTCTAGCATCACTTCACATCAGCATCACTGCATATAGCCTATAACCAACAATTGCTACACCATGCACATTTGAGAATTTCAGAAACGAGTATTACCCTTCATTGAAAATGTTTTTAAAACAGACTAAAAAACTACATCTCAAAACTGAATTGCTAGGTGATAGACCTATATTCACACGAAATGGCAAAAACGGCATCGTCATTTGTCAGCATTTTGTTTCCTTTGCATAGCACATTACCACAACTTTAATGATACTATTAATACAATAACAAATTGCTATTATTAGCATACAATTAAAATTATATAAGAGAGAAACACCATGTGTCAAAAATTTGATTGATCCCCCCATCATAACAGCTCGCGCACATCAGCTATACAGGCGTTAATACTGAATGTTTAACATTATATTTATTGCATACATATACTTCGTAGTAGACATCCATAACTCCTTTCTGCTGTCTGTTGTCAGTGTTTCTTTGTTTAAATATGGCGCTTATCACATGCTGTGTGGTATCGGCGTTTGGTATCGGGGCATTTTAACGAGTACGAGTACGAGTACAGGAGGCCAGTATCGGGCCCGATACCGATACCAGTATCGGTATCGGTGCATCCCTAATAAAAATCCCACGCCCCCACAACCCTCCGCACCCTACTGGACACCTGTTTGTACATCTGTTTATCCACCCCTCCCTCTTATTGTTTGGCAATGTGTTTTTGTGCGTGCCCATTGAAACTGTTCAAAAACTATGTGCTTTAAACTTTAGAATGTGAAACGATGTATTGATTTGTAAACGGGACGGTTAAGGGAAGTTTTTATTAAAGTTTTTTCACATGCATTTGAAGAAAAACCTCTAACATGCATGCAATAGAAACAATGTAATAATGACTGTGTTTTCCAGAAACGGTAAAACAAGTCAAGACGAGTATTTACTTATTGTTAAACAATATTAGAAAAAAACTGTGAAATATCTAAAACAAAAATGCATCAGACGCATTACTGATACAAAGTCAGAAAAGAACAGAAAAAGAAAAAGAGCTGAGCATCTTGCGCTGTTCTGTGATAACACAACCTCTCTCACCGCTGACAAACGCTGAATAAAGTTGGTCTGTAATGGTAAACCACACCCACTACCCGCCCCTAGCACAGACGGAGAGATGATCGCATAGAGCTGTGGGGGCATGGGATTTTTATGATGTGGTAATCAATCGCATTTTTGACACATGGTGCCCGAAATTCTCTCTTATATAATAACAGTCACACAGGTATTTTCTTGTGAGGAAAAAAAGAAACAATTACAATACACTCAATTGGCAATAAATACAATACAAACAGGAAATACAAAAACATTTACAAATACAACAACAGTGTTGCCAACTAATTTTTTAGGGTTGCTAAAAGGTCTGTAAGTTACTAAAAACAGGTTGATTTGTTGCTAAAAGTTGCTAAATGACGTTGTGATGTCATTGCACAAGATTGGACATCTCACTGAAAATATGATTAGGAATATGTTAACTTAGATTTGTTCAAAAAAGTAATATAAACCTGCGATTTTATTTGTAAAAGTAATAAAAACACAACACTTTTTGATGATCAGATATTTTTCTTTTTTAATACAACATTGTATTAATAAACAGTTACACATTTTTGAACAGAGTATTGTAGTTTGTAAGTAGTGTATTGGTAGTTGGTTAATATGCTACCTGACTAATCAACAGTTACAGGTACAAGCAAATAACAATGTGTGTCATAAATGAATAATTATTATTAGACCAATGCAACTAGCAACTTAATTCACACGTGATGTGACGCCACAGCCATATCGCCAGGACTGGTGGCCCACTGAAGCTAAGCAGGGTTGAGCTGGTCAGGATCTGGGAAGAGCTGTTTGTGAGGCCAGCAGGGGGCGCTCATCCTCTGGTCTGTGTGGCCCCTAATGCCCCAGTACACTAAATCTGCCAAATAAAGAGGAAGGAGACCTTCTTTATTTGAATGGATGTCAATGGAGGAGAGGCTTCACTACGCTGAATAAACAGCTTTTTAGAGGAAACAGCTTATCATTTAATGAATCGACAGCCTATCAGCTAATCTCCAACATGTTGTACACTAAACAATACTTTTGGATTGAACTATTTTTTATTTGCCCTCTGGATGCTGGAAGCATGGCCCATGGTCTGGAATAATACAGCATTTATATGTTTAACAATTACTTTATTTCTGAGGGGGGAAAAAAACTATAAACCTAGGAATGCACCGAAATTAAAATTCTTGGCCAAAAACCGAAACCGAAAATGCTTTTTAATAATTATTTGTTATTTTATGAAATAATATAAAATAATTTTGTAAGGCTTTTTAATTTAACTCAATAATTTGAATGATACTGAATTAAAAAAATACACGCCAATAAAATAACCACACTTTTATTAAAAGTAAAGCAATTTTTATTCAGTTGTATGCAACACAATCAGATTTAACTGTTTTAAATTATCCAAATAATGTATAGTCCTACAACTCTATTATTATCAGAGCATGTGAAAGAGTGAATCCTGCACGCTGAACTCTGCTGGGCAGAACGGCGCGCCTTATATTTCCATTTTTCTCTTTTGGCCAAAAAACAAAAATGCCATTTCAGCCGATAATTTTCACCGAAATTTCGGTGCATCCCTATAAAATTATAAACCAGAATCAAGACGTTGCTATCTTAAGTTTAAATCTGTTTTTTACAAAAGTTTTTGTTTTAAGTTCAGATATTTCTTTCAAATGTATTAATTTTCCAATTACTGTAGTAAATATTATGTAAAATAAATATGAATCATTATTTACTATCTTTGAAGTTTAATTGTGTGTTATCATAAATATCGGCGTGAATCACTACAAAAGCTTGTATCAGTTGTCCACTAATTATAACCAATGAATAAATGAATTGCCGTTTCTGAGCACATGAGATCTGCACTAGTGAGTTTAGTCGTGAATTTGGTTTTTAGAGGTCATATATAGTTCATTTGTTCGTATCAGTCTAATCTGTTTGAATGCTGCTGTTATCCAGCTGATATTTCTCCACAGGACTGTGCTGGTATCTGCTGTCTGATTTGTTTGTTATTGCAGCTGATTTTTAAGTATGATCTGGTGAAGTATGACCTGGTCAGAGAGGAGCCTGTGAGGGACCACAGTGGATTCTGCCAGCACGTTCAGAAAGGTGAGAACATCTGAAACCCTCTGAAAAAGTCAGCTAACAGTAAAAATACTGTTTATGCTTTTTACCCTCTCGGTGACGATAGCATTAGACTTTAGCTGACTCTTAGCTCCTGCAGGATTTCATGTGAGTGTACGCACCCAAGCCTGCCGCGCTGTGCAGTGGGGTCCATGCTGCAGAGCTTAAACAGAAGAGCAGCGAGGCAAGCGCGCACGAGCAGCTGAACCTTTGCCCTTACGTCAAATTCCAGATCATGCTGATTCCTATTAAAATGTCTGGATGTCTCCCATGAATACTTGCAGAACAACGAGACGAACATCTGCACCTCGTCTACAGACCACAAAACAGCCATTTCTCTTCTCAAGTTGCGTGCGACGGTCGTTTAAAAAACTCATTCAAACAGATGATACTGCAGTGGCTGTTGCTGACTGTTTTTAATTTAATTCTAGCAGGTTTGGTGTCGCGTGTCAACAAATCCAATGACGCTGGTAGTGAAGATTCTCTCTGCACTGTTTACACGTCACATTTTAGTATCGGTACGGCTCGCTCGAATCCTCAGCCGAGGTGGTGCTAAAAGAAGTACCAGGCACTAGGTACGGTACACAGTGAAAACCCCCAAAAGTGAGCCGTTCTGAGCCGTACCATGCAGTGGAGAAGCACCATTAGTTGAAGCACCTTTGGCAGTGATGACAGCCTTCAGGATTACACTCATTTGGGCTGTGATGTGAAATTCAAGGATTGGGATTTACTGTGATTCTTCCCTGCTGTCAGGTTGGATGGGGACTGTCAGTGATTTTCAGGTGTTTCTAGAGATGTCCCATTGGGTTGGAGTCCAGGCCCTGGCTGGGAGCTGAACCTTCAGCCCAGTTCTGCGTGCTCTGGACCAGGTTTACCCTGAGCAGTCCCCTGGAGCATGCTTCACTCTGCCATAAAACCCTCACCTTTAACACCTCAAACAACCATTAGTGCAGAGGAAAGGTTCCATGATATAGACTTTTATTACAGATGGTACTCAACCAGAATGAGCTTTTTACCGCTGCTTCTGCAAAATGCATTTGCAGCTTTTGACCGCTGAGCGGCACTTTAACCAAAAGTTATCAAGCAAACGCATCAAAGCACATTTTCACAAAGAGCAGTCGGCTTTGCCTTGCCAATAGGTTACATTTGACGGCTGCAGTCAGCGGAAAACCAAAGAAAAACTCTGTAGTTAAAATAATTCATACCTAGTTCATAGCCTACCCTGACAGCACACGTCCATCACGGAGGCGTCTGCAAGACGTATGTTTTAGTGTTTGCTCATCTGCTATACGTCTATAGGACGATTCCTATCAGATGTCAAATAGACGTGTAGAAGATGTCTTTAAGATGTTTATGATTTAGAATGCATGTAAAACGTCTATCAGATGTTTGTACACCGCAGATGAAGCGATCTTTAACAGACCTGCAGACGTGCGTGTGCTATTATGAAGTCCTGTGCTTTGTTATTCAGAAGGAACTCAAGCAGGGTAAAGGTCAAGCCTGTGTGCCTGTGCTTATATTTTACTCTATACTGCAGTACTACACCGTATTATAGGTTTCTACACATGTAACTGCAGTGCAGTATTAATTATATAATATGAATCAAATGTTATATTGAAATAAAGAAAAGGTGGTTTACTTTGCATCGGAGCAATAAAAGTGGTCGACAGGCTACATGGATTTATATGCTAAATATCAAATATACAATAAATATTTGTCACACAATTAAAAAAAAAAAGTTATATTTTAAAATTCCTTTAATAAAACGGCATGCATTTCTGTATGTCACACACATACTTGGTTATTCGTTACCTGTCCTTTATTTTGACAGAGAACTACATGACGTGGGAAAAAGATATCGGTCCACTAATTAAAAAATCGTTGCGTATTTTTATGAATTCCTTCCTTTATTTTAGTAAAACGTGAGCACTGTATTATTTCGTTCCCATTATTTAACTAAAACAAGAAACGAATAAATAAAACCTGGCTAAGATTTAGCTAAATCAATGAAACTGAAAAGAAGAGACGGATTAATTAAATGTCCTCATGTTTAAACGCGCTGTAAATAAGGGAATCATAGTGCAGTTAGCTTGATTAATTATACTTCAATTACTGACAACTTCAGGGATTTTAAAAGGAGCCTCGCTTTCATACAATCCATTTTTGAGTAAAAGCTTCTCATGCAGCCGCATTTATCTGCAAGAGCGAACATGCTAAATGATCACTCACGGAAACTGAGATGATTGACAGTGATAACCATATCAACAAAAATATCCCATTTCAACATTTAAATATATATTAAAAAATAAAAAAGTATTTTCTGAATATGTTACATTTAAAAGGCCTCTCAACATTTTTTCCTATAATGATTAGGCCTATTGAAATAAATATATCTCTGTATTAATATGAGAATGCTGCGTTCCTCATGTAAATAATGTATCGGTTAAATCAATATATTTCTTTTAATAATTATTGCACCACTATCTCAGTTAATAAGCAGATTTAGTAGGCTGCTAGAGGTTAACTATTAAAACTAAAATGACTAAAACTAAAATAAAAATAACTAAGTAGTATTGTTTTTTAATATTTTTTAAAAGAATATTGGTCTAAGTCTCGGTACAGTTTTATTACAGGTTTGCATGTATTCCCAGTACGATGTGATGTAAAATGAGAAATACAGCATTCTTATTGCTGCGATATATTTTTACATTTGTTTTACCAAAACTACAGTGTTGCTGCGTACAACCAAGCAACACTGCATAATATATTATATATAATGCTGAATATGAAACGAGTCATTTTACATTTTTAATACATATCTCATTAAATTACTAAATTCTTTAGTTGTATTTTGGTGATTAATGTTTTATTTTTTACATTTTTGACGTATTCCCCCAACCACCGCACGCTGAATCTATGTACGTGACACATACATGACCTGGCTTTTGTATTCATTTTACACCAGATCACGCAGGTAGAGTAGAGGGGGGGAAACGCCCCGGCACTAATGTATTAATAACATGAAACCTCTGGACACACTTAACTTTTGTTTCACAGAAGAAAAAAATGACAGTCCTTAAGGGGGCTGTTTTCCCCCACTCTACCCTAATATGACTCTTTATGAAACCCTTCAGTAATTAATACATTTAACTTCTCATGTAGAATTCTAATTGTAGGCAGCTGCTGGAAGAGGTGTTAGTGATGCCAGCAGGGGGCGCTCTCCCTGTGCTCTGTGTGGGTCCTAGCGCCCCAGTGTAGTGACGGGGACACTATACTGTCTACAAGCACGTCCTTCAGATGAGACGTTAAACCCAGGTCCTGGCTCTCTGCTCATTAAAACCCCAGGATGTCTTTAGAAGAGAGTAGAGGTGTGACCTCGGCTTCCTGCTCAAACGAATTAACAAGTACTAATTAGGCTTATTATTAGTAGTAGCTGTAGTAGTAAACATGGGAACTAATAAATACAGTGCTCTCACGTTTTAATTAATACAAATAAATGATTTAATAAAAAGTGATCAACAATTTCTTAATTCAAGGACATTATATTTTTCGGCATGTTTACCGGAATAGATGTGTCAAAAAACCACCGATAGCGAGCAAGTGTGCGTGACCTGCTGAAATGCATCAGTGAATTATTAAATGTAAGTTTCAATCCTTTCATCTGTGATATAAATGTGACAATGCTACCAAAATATGTGTTAGAACCATATCACTCATAATCTTCCTATTAACAATAATCAACCTTTTCTATCGTTTTATATTTTATAATGGATATCTCTTTAAATGTAATGAATATTCAAAGAGCTAATCTAAGATACTAGTTGGTATTGTACAGTAAAAAGTAAGCATACTTCAAGCACTGGTGTCACTGTAATATTTCATCGTGACAGTGGTCAAATAGCTGGAACATTAAACATTTATTTGATTAATAAATCAAGATTAAATGTTATAATACTTTACTAGCCTATTATTGTAATATTACCACTGATTTATTTCATTATTTTGATCTTTATTTACAAGTGAAAATGTCACAATTCCAGCTTTAAATGGTGTCAGACGCCACCTGGTGGTACTGTCGCGCACGAGTTTCTCATGTGACTGGGTTTTATTTAACCATTTCGGCTGACTACCTACTGTACGTCTTCTGGACGTGTTTGGGAACAACTGCCTAACAGTGTAGACTTTGTTGTTTTTGCCGAGTTTTCATGACTGATCAGCCTGTCAGGATTTTTTAGCAATGTTAAAGCGGCTGACCGCACATGATCACATGTTTCTGTAAACACTCACTTCTTGTGAAGGCAAATGGCCATGCTGTCTGCTCATGTGGGGCTCTTGTGTTGATGATCAGGAGAGACGGGGCTGCTGCTGTCTAAGATCTGCAGTCAGAGCCCGTTCTTCGGTTACGCCGGCAGCAAACAGCTGACGGAGAGGAAGATCCTGAGAGACGTGTTTGTCACAGGAGACGCTTACTTCAACACCGGAGACCTGATGGCTGAGGACGAGGACGACTTCATCTGCTTCAGAGACCGAGTGGGAGACACCTTCAGGTGGAGAGGGACAGAGATCCAGCATGTATGCATATGAGCATAAGCTCAGTAATAAAAGTGAACTATAATTCTGTACACTGCTGCCGTTGTTGTAGATGGAAGGGTGAAAATGTGGCGACCACTGAGGTGACCGAGATCCTGGGACTGGTGGATTTCATTCAGGAAGCCAGTGTGTATGGAGTCCAGGTGCCAGGTACTGCTTAAACACACCAGCACCGACACACTGAGAGATGCCTTATTTTAGCTAAACGTTTCTTTCATCCAAAGGTGCTATTTTACTTTATCACCCGGTTGCTGAGAGATTATTTCACATTGTGAAATTCTTACATTTAACATCTGTTAGATTGCTTCTATAATATTTGTACAAATGTGATTGGATTTTTAATGTCCCAAGTGATTTATGTAAGGCACATGTTGAAGATCATTGTGTTAAATTCAGTGAACACTGTTTGGTATTTGACTGTCTTTCTTTTCTGAATAACATTTGGGGCCCTATTTTAACGATCTAAGCGCATGGTCTGAAGCGCAGGTGCACGTAGTGTCCGAATCCACTTTTGCTAGTTTAACGACGGGAAAAACGGTCGGCGCACCGGACACATGGTGCAAAAGGGTTGTTCATATTCTCTTAATGAGTCATGGGTGTGTTTTGGGCGTAACGTGCAATAAACCAATCAGAGTCTCATCTCCCATTCCTGGCTTTTGCCAGTTGCGCTCGCGCCATGGCTGATTCGCTAATTACACGGAGGAATTTGCAAGAGCAAAGACTGAACGCTTGTCTAGTGAGGGATCTGCTCGTGCATGAGGTTAAAGCGCGCGAGCAGACCATCTACGGGGCACAATAATAATCTTCTACATTGTAATCCTTTCATTTTTAATATTTGGCATGTTTGTGTGCTGCTGTGTGTGTAATAAGCAGAGTGTACGTGCATTGTTCACCCACCTATAGGCACATATTACTAACACGCTCTTTAAATAACAAAAAAAATACTGCGCCATTGACTTTAGACCAGGTTTCAGTTGGTCAATGGTGCAGTCGTTTGCAGTTGCCTCAAAATAGCAACGCGCCTGAACACACCTGGCTTTCAGACCAGCACGCACATGAGCGCACAAATGGGTGCAAATGCATTTGCTGTTTAAACAACGTGGCGCAGGACCTGAAAATGATAACTGCGTCGGGCTGAAACTAGCAAAGAACACTTGCGTCGCGCCTGGCTCTGCATTGCGCCGGGTGTATGATAGAGCCCATGGAGTCTTTGTGCGATTGGCTAATAAACCTTTCCAAATCTTGTCCAATTAGTTGAATTCTAATCAAAGTGTAGATGTATATTTACATATTTACTAAATAAACTAAATTTGTTATCAAAGGGCCTTTTGATGTTTTTGTTTAGTTTTGTATTTCAAATAAATGTTAATAATTTCAATTAATTTGTGATTGGCTGATGAGATAGAAAACAGGAAGTTAAAATGCATGTGTGTTTCTGTGCACAGGAAATGAGGGCCGAGCCGGAATGGCTGCAGTGATTGTGAGGCCCGAGTGCACATTTGATGGGAAGAAACTGTTCAGTCACGTCCTCAGAGAACTGCCATCATACGCTCGACCTCTCTTCATTAGACTGCAGGTGCAAAACAAATACTGACCACAGTTGTGAGTGTGTGTGAGTGTGTGTGTGTGTGTGTGTGAGTGTGTGTGCATGAGTGAATGAAATATATAACTTTTTGTTAACTTCAGTAGTCTGTACAACAAAGGAGTTGTAATCGGTTGCTTTTTCTGCAGCAAGCTGAACTCTAGTGATTTGATTTTTTATCGATCATTTTGTCAAAGAGCCAGGTGTGGCTTGCGAGTGTTCGGAAGATGTATTTATAATGCACTCTCATTGTTTAAATCTTGTTCATTTCGATCAAAACATTTATATAGCTACTCCATATAGTCTGACAGCAAGCCCTGTTACAGGGGAGTATTATGCATTAACGCCTGTAAATCTTTTATTTTTGGGCAATAACGGTGGAAATGTTGACTTTAAGATTTTTGTCTAAAGATAAACTGTACTGTAAATGGCAACATGCAGACTGGGGTACTGCTGTTAAATCATCCACTTTCTTTCCCATTCCACTGTAAGCCACGTAACACGGCTTCGTCCGTTCAGCTGTGCTTGTGCGCAGAACCTGTGTGGAGCATGTACACGCGCTCCAGCATGTGCTCTGTGTCTGCAGGAGTCTCTGGAGATGACCAGCACCTTCAAGCAGCAGAAGTTTGCTCTGGTGGAGAGCGGCTTCGACCCCTGCAGCATCAGCCAGCCGCTCTTCTTCCTGGACTGCAGCGAGAAGAGCTACGTCCCCCTCACCAGCTCGGTGTATGACAGCATAGTGAGCGGTCAGAGGAAAGTCTAGCCCTTTCAAACACCTCCAGACCGTAGAGAAGTGATTTAGCTGTCAGACGCTGTATATTTGATCAGAGTCCGCCGTCAATTATTGATCACGTACGTCTTTCAGAGCTGCAGACCGTGTCCTTTAGTGAATACAGAGTTAGTGCATATGAAAGAGGGTAATGGTGATCTGCTCCGAGCGGAGATGAGTGATATAGCCTGCTGTCAGACACGCAGTCATGTGTGCTGAGATCTGGGAAATACAGGAGAGTGATTTCAGTGCTGAAGTGAATGTGTGTGCGCTATGAAGGAAACACTTTTAGATTCGGTGTCTGCAAAGATTGAAGTTCAACACAGGCACCTGCTGTTCTGTTTTAAAGTCTACTTTCAGTCATGGCTTTAGTGTGCGTCATACGTGCACATCACTGCTTTAACTTACTGTAACACAACTCAATCCCGTGAGATTTCAGCTGTTGCACACACGGACAGTCTACAAATCCAGACTCGTAATCATGTAACGTCTTCCTGCTGATTCACTCTTCTGACATCACACCTGTCTGCTTCTATGTATTTGAATTATTTGAATCAATATGTCATAAAACCATCCATCTTGTGTGTATGTTGAAGTGTAATGTTATGACTGTGTAATGCACACACACACACACATGCACCTTGAATATTTCAAACACACTGTAGTCTGACTCTGACTCAAACTGCATTGTTTGCTTTAGTTCTGAACATCACAGAAAGTGAAGACTTGCTTATTTTGAGCTTTGGTTGATTATTTATTTTTTAATTTTTGCACTTGAAACATTTGAGATTCACTGTGAATTTAAAACTTCACCTTTTCTTCACTTACGGAAGTGAAAAATGATTCGTTTTTTATTATGTATCTAATTATGTAATAATAAATGTCAATTTTGCTCACATGCGTTCACGTTTTCACAATCAGTTGTTTGTATGATGAAAAGCATGTTACAGATGTAAGCTCGAGAGCTCATTTAAGCACAGAACAAAGATTTCAAGCATGCATCGTGGTTTTGCTCACATTGCTAGAAGGAGAACAGTAAGACTGAGAACACATGCTACCTCCTCAACAGTGTGAAGCTTATTTCAAACACTGAGGCAATCTGTAACAATGACGGTGTTTGCTAGCACTTCATAATAATAACATTGATAATAATGTATACATACATTTAATCATTTTCGATTCCATTTCATTTTCATTTATAGCCTCACAATCATTAACAATCATCCCAATCATTAATCTCGAACTAATGGTTTCACTTCAGCACGGGTGCCAAAAAGGATAGCCAAAGGATTCGTTGTTTGCGCTCCAGGCTTTTCCCGCTCAGCAAACTTCGACTTTCAACAGTCCGAGTCATTTTAACGAATCGGCTCTTTTGATCGATTCACTTCGATGGCTCATTAAAGAAGATTCGATTGGTTTCAGCCATTACTGAAAGTAAATGCATTTGGTTTGGATTTGTAACGTGCTGCTGCCACATTACATGTTTGCACAAACAGTGCCACTACAGACCCCCAGAGACACACGAACTGATGTTGAACTGAGAAAAATAGCCTTTACTAGATATTGTCTTAGTATATAACATGTCTATTTTTATTTGTATTCAATTAGGCCAAACGAAAACGGTCCACAGTCAGCTCGATTCAGATCGCTTCGAGACATCGGGCTTGTTTGAGATGAGCAAATTCTGCTGCAGAACCGATCACCGGTGATCACCGCGAGATGCATGCCGGTTAGAAAAGTGTCCGTCTTGCCTGCGCTTATTTCACTCCTCCCCTCACTGCAGCCGCCTACTCTCGCCTTCATTTCAGGCAAGGCGAGGCGCATCTCAAACAAGCCCATTCATGAACCGATTCTTCTTCTTCTCTTCTGTTTTTTTGGCGTGTTATATATATATCCTGTGTGCATATCGCCACCTACTTTTGCTGTTATGCAGTCATGGTTTATTATTTATAATACATTTCTTCCTTGTTTTTGCTTTTCCTATTCTTACACACGTATATACACAAATATTCCTAGTTAAATAATTATTCGATGCTGCATCCCCTTCCTTCTCCCCAGAGGCTCCTGGCGCTGCGTGTTCAGCTCCTCCTCATGAACCGATTCTCGTGAACGAGTCGTTAGGAGTCGGACATGATGTCATATCGGAGAGTGGCGGAGCATCATGGCGGACGCACACAGCAACAATAACCTCGTCCCGGTCTTATTCTCCTTCTCTGAGCTGTCGCGGCCCTCGTCTGTGCCCCTGGGCTCTGGATCTGAAGTGCTCATGCAGAAGTTTCTGTCCATGTACGGGCATCAGATGGACGTTGACCGTAAGCTGGTGCTTCAGTGTTTCTCGGAGGACTGGGGTCAGTACGCTGATGTGCCGAAGGGCTTCACGGTGTCGGAGAGATGTCGGCTGAGACTCGTGCCTCTGCAGATGCCTGTAAGCTCATGTCCACACACCACCCGTCTGTGTGCTCTTCTGTGGGAATGTGTGTGTCTCGCTTCGGAAGAGCTTGGCATCATGTGTTTATTATAAGTAAGATGAGGAAATCATCATATAATGTCTCAGTGCATGAACATGAGTCCGGGCTGCTCTTCTCTCGCAGATTGCGAGTGACCTTTGTTGAAGTTCGTGTTTATAAGCGCGTTGTTTCACTAATAAACACTGAGACCAAGTTTACATTCTCAAAACACATCGCACTGAAGATGTTTCACTTTCATTCACAGCTTGTTGTAGATATTATATGCATACGGTTTATTCCTGAGGATTTAATTATTGTAGTCAGTGGTGAATCACGTTAATGAAAAGATACAAAGATTTTCTTAGATTATTTGATTAAACTGCACAAATGTATGGCTTTGTTGTTGTTTGCATTACAGTAATGAGAAATATGTGCATTTTCTAACGCATACAGTATATTCACCCAGTCCTGCTTGCGCCGCCTCAGGAGTTATGATTATCAAATCTGGTTGCAGCACACACATAAGGAGCATCTTCACAGATTGTCTAACCTCAAATCAGTTTGGAGTAGACGTCACCGTTACATCACTAGCAGCTGCATTGTGCTGGCAGAAAAACACTGGGAACGAGTCACATCCATGGATTAAGAGAAACAATGTATCGTTGTGCCTTTGGATGTCAGAATGGGAAAGCAAATCATTTTTATATAACACTGTCGTCAAAGACGCCATTTGAAGCTAAACGCAGACGTTTTAAACGGACAGACTATGGATGAAAACTGCTATGATTACACTAAAAAAAAATCCGTAAAATTTACGGTAAAAAACCGGCAGCTGTGGTTGCCGGAATTTTACCGTAAAAAATACGGTAGCAACGTTTTAGGATTTACGGTTTTAACTTAAATTTACAGTTAAATACCGTAATTTCATTAACTGATATAATGTTAATATACCAACCTATTGAAGTACTGAAATCTGTTTTGTACCTTTGTAATACACTGATAACCACCAAATGCAGGTGGTGATGAGAAAGTCACATGATGAACCAAAGCCCATCACAAGCAGCTTTTAAATATTAACATATATATAGAAGGTGCACAGTGTCATTCACACAAACACCAAACACCATCATGGTAACACACATGAAACTGAAATAATGCAATAAACATTAATTTAACAACATTAGGTGTAACACACAACCCTAATATACAAAACTGATAAGAAAAAACTAAGAAGAAACATTATTTTAACAAAAAAAACCCATCATCGTAATCATGCAACGTCTTCCTGCTGATTCACTCTTCTGACATCACACCTGTCTGCTTCTATGTATTTGAATTATTTGAATCAATATGTCATAAAACCATCCATCTTGTGTGTATGTTGAAGTGTAATGTTATGACTGTGTAATGCACACACACACACACACATGCACCTTGAATATTTCAAACACACTGTAGTCTGACTCTGACTCAAACTGCATTGTTTGCTTTAGTTCTGAACATCACAGAAAGTGAAGACTTGCTTATTTTGAGCTTTGGTTGATTATTTATTTTTTAATTTTTGCACTTGAAACATTTGAGATTCACTGTGAATTTAAAACTTCACCTTTTCTTCACTTACGGAAGTGAAAAATGATTCGTTTTTTATTATGTATCTAATTATGTAATAATAAATGTCAATTTTGCTCACATGCGTTCACGTTTTCACAATCAGTTGTTTGTATGATGAAAAGCATGTTACAGATGTAAGCTCGAGAGCTCATTTAAGCACAGAACAAAGATTTCAAGCATGCATCGTGGTTTTGCTCACATTGCTAGAAGGAGAACAGTAAGACTGAGAACACATGCTACCTCCTCAACAGTGTGAAGCTTATTTCAAACACTGAGGCAATCTGTAACAATGACGGTGTTTGCTAGCACTTCATAATAATAACATTGATAATAATGTATACATACATTTAATCATTTTCGATTCCATTTCATTTTCATTTATAGCCTCACAATCATTAACAATCATCCCAATCATTAATCTCGAACTAATGGTTTCACTTCAGCACGGGTGCCAAAAAGGATAGCCAAAGGATTCGTTGTTTGCGCTCCAGGCTTTTCCCGCTCAGCAAACTTCGACTTTCAACAGTCCGAGTCATTTTAACGAATCGGCTCTTTTGATCGATTCACTTCGATGGCTCATTAAAGAAGATTCGATTGGTTTCAGCCATTACTGAAAGTAAATGCATTTGGTTTGGATTTGTAACGTGCTGCTGCCACATTACATGTTTGCACAAACAGTGCCACTACAGACCCCCAGAGACACACGAACTGATGTTGAACTGAGAAAAATAGCCTTTACTAGATATTGTCTTAGTATATAACATGTCTATTTTTGTTTGTATTCAATTAGGCCAAACGAAAACGGTCCACAGTCAGCTCGATTCAGATCGCTTCGGCTTGTTTGGCTTGTTTGAGATGAGCAAATTCTGCTGCAGAACCGATCACCGGTGATCACCGCGAGATGTAGAAAAGTGAGAAAAGTGTCCGTCTTGCCTGCGCTTATTTCACTCCTCCCCTCACTGCAGCCGCCTGCTCTCGCCTTCATTTCAGGCAAGGCGAGGCGCATCTCAAACAAGCCCATTCATGAACCGATTCTTCTTCTTCTCTTCTGTTTTTTTGGCGTGTTATATATATATCCTGTGTGCATATCGCCACCTACTTTTGCTGTTATGCAGTCATGGTTTATTATTTATAATACATTTCTTCCTTGTTTTTGCTTTTCCTATTCTTACACACGTATATACACAAATATTCCTAGTTAAATAATTATTCGATGCTGCATCCCCTTCCTTCTCCCCAGAGGCTCCTGGCGCTGCGTGTTCAGCTCCTCCTCATGAACCGATTCTCGTGAACGAGTCGTTAGGAGTCGGACATGATGTCATATCGGAGAGTTGCGGAGCATCATGGCGGACGCACACAGCAACAATAACCTCGTCCCGGTCTTATTCTCCTTCTCTGAGCTGTCGCGGCCCTCGTCTGTGCCCCTGGGCTCTGGATCTGAAGTGCTCATGCAGAAGTTTCTGTCCATGTACGGGCATCAGATGGACGTTGACCGTAAGCTGGTGCTTCAGTGTTTCTCGGAGGACTGGGGTCAGTACGCTGATGTGCCGAAGGGCTTCACGGTGTCGGAGAGATGTCGGCTGAGACTCGTGCCTCTGCAGATGCCTGTAAGCTCATGTCCACACACCACCCGTCTGTGTGCTCTTCTGTGGGAATGTGTGTGTCTCGCTTCGGAAGAGCTTGGCATCATGTGTTTATTATAAGTAAGATGAGGAAATCATCATATAATGTCTCAGTGCATGAACATGAGTCCGGGCTGCTCTTCTCTCGCAGATTGCGAGTGACCTTTGTTGAAGTTCGTGTTTATAAGCGCGTTGTTTCACTAATAAACACTGAGACCAAGTTTACATTCTCAAAACACATCGCACTGAAGATGTTTCACTTTCATTCACAGCTTGTTGTAGATATTATATGCATACGGTTTATTCCTGAGGATTTAATTATTGTAGTCAGTGGTGAATCACGTTAATGAAAAGATACAAAGATTTTCTTAGATTATTTGATTAAACTGCACAAATGTATGGCTTTGTTGTTGTTTGCATTACAGTAATGAGAAATATGTGCATTTTCTAACGCATACAGTATATTCACCCAGTCCTGCTTGCGCCGCCTCAGGAGTTATGATTATCAAATCTGGTTGCAGCACACACATAAGGAGCATCTTCACAGATTGTCTAACCTCAAATCAGTTTGGAGTAGACGTCACCGTTACATCACTAGCAGCTGCATTGTGCTGGCAGAAAAACACTGGGAACGAGTCACATCCATGGATTAAGAGAAACAATGTATCGTTGTGCCTTTGGATGTCAGAATGGGAAAGCAAATCATTTTTATATAACACTGTCGTCAAAGACGCCATTTGAAGCTAAACGCAGACGTTTTAAACGGACAGACTATGGATGAAAACTGCTATGATTACACTAAAAAAAAATCCGTAAAATTTACGGTAAAAAACCGGCAGCTGTGGTTGCCGGAATTTTACCGTAAAAAATACGGTAGCAACGTTTTAGGATTTACGGTTTTAACTTAAATTTACAGTTAAATACCGTAATTTCATTAACTGATATAATGTTAATATACCAACCTATTGAAGTACTGAAATCTGTTTTGTACCTTTGTAATACACTGATAACCACCAAATGCAGGTGGTGATGAGAAAGTCACATGATGAACCAAAGCCCATCACAAGCAGCTTTTAAATATTAACATATATATAGAAGGTGCACAGTGTCATTCACACAAACACCAAACACCATCATGGTAACACACATGAAACTGAAATAATGCAATAAACATTAATTTAACAACATTAGGTGTAACACACAACCCTAATATACAAAACTGATAAGAAAAAACTAAGAAGAAACATTATTTTAACAAAAAAAACCCATCAAATTGGAAATGTAACGCAGGGAATTCTGGGAATGTCAATTTACGGTTATTCACTGTAAATTATACAGTCTTTTTCACTTACAAAAACGGTATACTACCGTAAAATTAATGTCCAATACATGTAATGTCCAATACAGTTTTTCACCATATAGTAGGGGAATTTACCGTTAACCATTTAACAGGTTTTTACTGTAGCATTTTTACAGTCTTTTACCATTAAATTCAAGGTCATTTTTTACAGTGTGTAGTTGCAAAGTTACTTACTGTTAATAGAATGTCTAAAGTGGACTATCGAAATAAAGTGTTACCCAGTTTATTGCTTATTTATAGGCATTCTGAAACTTTTTGACCTCGACCCAAACAACGTAGTAACCTAAAAAACTGTTGATTTAATCACATTCAAAACAAAACTGAAACTTTTTTGAAACCATCACATGTTTTGAGACAGAGATGAAAAAAAGTGTGCTTGGCATCA